CTAAATAGTTACAAAATTTTCACCTTTTGCCTGTGCCCAGTTTTTCAGAACTTATAATAAATAGAAATACCGTCTACAAAAAATCAGACCGAGTTCAGGACGCACATTGAGAGTTGATGATTATATGGCTACTAATTCTTGGTCACAAAATTTCAGTTTTGCATATTGCGAGATTTCTAGAAAATAACAGAACGCAAACTCAAAGAGGATAGAAAACGGGGGAAATAGCTTTAAAGAAATTGGAATGAACGTAAATCCTCTGGGGAGCGTTAATTCATCGAGACCGGAGATACATGCAGCTTTCGGAACATGTGCTTGGATATCGTTAGAGTATGTTTATATAAACATTAATTTATAAACTGGACGCAAAATGAATGCATAAAAATTGTACAAAGATCTAGTCCAAAAAATAAATTAAACCTAAAGTCAAGTCGCTTAACATAAAACCAGAAAAATATAGACGACTGTAAGAATAATAATGAAATACGGCCTTAGCATAAAAAAGATATGCTCAAAATTTTAAGCAACCCGAATTGCGAGAATCGCTGAAAGCGCTGAAATAAGACCAAGAGGATATTACGGAGCAACTATCAAAAGAGAAGGATAAAATCAACGCGCCGAAAACACTCGATTTTAATAGAGGGTGCGCAGTCCAGCAGAAAGGTGAATAGTCAAAGTACAACAAACAGGCTCTGTCGTAATGGATCTGATGCTATTTTGGGAAGGGAAGCCCTGAAAACAAATCCATACCAAAGAAACAACGCTAAAGGGGTAGTGTTAAGGCGCCTTATGAAACTAGTGGAGAAGAGAATATCGAGTCATTATACTCAAATTGAAAGACAGATTTGTGCGTGGATCCAAGCCAACACAAAATGGTCAACATGACATTTCCCAAAAAGCTGCTTGAATTACATTTGAAGAGAAAAAAATTGACTGCGGCATGTAATCCAAGGGGCTTAGATACTCAGTAAAAAAAATGAGAAATGAAAAAACGTAATGTGAAAAGTTAAAGATGCAGAGGTAAGGTTGAGTAATTTCCTTCACCAAACAGAATTCTGAACTCCATCAATTCAATGAACTCATGCCCAAGCTTCATCTTATCTAAACCAAAACAGGAGGAATTAGAAAGCATGAAAAATATAGTAGGCAAATAAGCTAAATTTTGATTATCATTTTCTATTGACATTAAACTGATAGCTATTCAGTTTACAGGCGGAATTATAAAACATGAAAAATATAGTAGGCAAATAAGCCCAATTTTGATTATCATTTTCTATTGATTTTATACTGATGGCTATTCAATTTACATCAATCACTAGCATCCGATTTTTCGTGATTAAATGAATATCAATTCTAGCAAGGAAACACCTATGATGAAAAGTTCTGAAATACAATATATCGCCAAACTTATTATTGTTTTGTGCAAATATTTATTAAAGGAAAATTGCTTCAGGAGGTCCATAAATGAGTTTAAGGGAAATACCAATGCAAGATTAAATTTTTTAATGGTAACGCCTATGGTAACCTAAAAATGCCACTTGCTCCCCCATCACATTGCCATTAGGTGGGTAGTTTTCAAAGCTCATATTTATGCATGCCTCTACTAAGTAGTATTGAACTGGAATTGTGTAACTTTAAATGCATTCTCTCGAAGTTAAGACAGTCGAGATAATGCCATTCGTTCCTTAGATCGATCAGAGAAGCAAGACATGTTTTGCCTACTTGAATTTTCTCATTAGGGTGAGACACAATCAAGGTACTACACTAGCTGAGGTGAGATAGCAATCAGTAGACACAATATAAGTGCATAAGAAATTTACCTTCAACGTTATTTGGTTTAAATTAATTCACCTTTAAACCGGAATGTTCAATTTGGGAGAGATCACAGCTTGCAGATACAGAAAAGAATAGGTAGGAAGGTGCCGATAGAGGCCAGCAGGGGTAGCAGATAAGACGTGGCTTCCGTGCTTTCGTATGGATCGGGAAGTCGCGGCCCGCTTGCCAAATGTCGGCGAGAAAGTTCGTCTATCTCTACACTGCGTGGCGCTGTAGGTGCTTCTTCGATCGATCTGTCTATATGATGTTCGTCAGCATCCCATGGAGCCAAGTCCGGCACTTCTATGGGCAGCAGGCCAGGCCAGACAAGAGAAAGAGGCAATTGTAAATGCGAATGACTTTGAATTACTGTATTGTTACATGACTACTGATAACATTATAATGCAACAGTCTAAGAATAATTAATTATATGAAGTTAACCAGGTTCTCAGCCTGGTCGCCTAGTTTCTTTTGGTTTCAATTATCAAAACGTGCTCCAAATATAAATAGGATATGACATAAACATGTCCTGAAACTCATAAATGTCCCTTGACTCAAAAAGACTTGGCTGGGCTTCGTTTCTTTATATACAGGGCTTGGTTT